TTTTTTTTTTTTTTTTTTATTTTTTTATTTTTTATTTTTTATTTTTTATTTTTTTTTATTTTTTGTAGCTATCTGGCAATTGCAGTCTCTCTTATTTTATTTTTTCCTTGCATAATATTCACAATTTTTCTTAATTTTGCACCTCCTTAATTTTGCATTTTACTGTGTGGAAGGCAAATTTTATTAATATTTCTGTAGCTCTCCTTTGTTTTTCTAGTTTGCCTGTTGCTTTTCTTTGTTCAACATTCAGAAGAAAAAAGCTATATTTTTAAAAAACACTTTCACTGTTCTTTTTTTTTAACCTACATTCTCTGTTTTGTACCGTTTTCACCTATGTTTTGTACCTATGTTTGTCTTCAATTCTCATTTTTTTCTGCCTGTGTGCCAAATATGATTTTTTTTTTTAGTGTAGAATTAGAAACTTATAGTTGGAAAGATATCTTTATATATTTTCTGTGTTGTTTCAGGATTTGTTTCCTATGTACTTTCAGCAACTGAGATATCCTAATTTTCCATTTGTATAGATGGCTTTCAGTACTAATTAAAAATACTTCTTGTTTGATTTTAAACATTTATATGGTCTCATGCCTTTTTCTCTAGTTGCATTAGTGTGACTCAGTCAAATGAGAAATCTTTTTCATTTTCTACTTAACTAGTGTGCAAGCTATTTCTGTATCCTAGCAGAGTCTATTAAGAAAATTGAAGACTGTTCCCCACTGAAGGAACTTGGGTAACGCCCTTGGAGCGCTATCTCTGTGTTGCTGTTTTATTCTTTTTCTGCCATTCTACTGTACTTGCTTTGCAAATTTTGAACTTCAGTTCCCATCTACAGAATTGTTTTTCTAAAGCCCCCCAAAATTGCAAGCTCTGAATACCATATAAACAATACATGTATGATAATGTAATACCCAACCTTCTACAATTTGTTTTGTGATCCATACTTCTAAGGGATAACAAGATGGTAGAACTGTCTCATAAAGCACATAAAATATCATAATAAAAGGAAGGAATGAATGTGTGTGATGACTTTCTTGATATTTTTCAGGGCTCACAGATACTATCTCAAAAATGAAATACTGCACTGTGAATGTGTGCATGGGTTTGACAATAAACTAAAAAGGCTGCAACAAAATCTTTGTGCCTAGAGAAATTATAAAGACATGAATTAGCTGTATTTTCCCAGGTTAATACTTGGAATCTGTTTGGGATTTTAGAAATGGTTAGTCTAGGATTTCAGACACCACGACAAGCTCTAGGATTTCTTTTTTTTTTTTTTTTTTTTTGTAAGAAAGTTGAGATGTGAATGTGTGTGCTAGTTCACTCTTCATTTTCTGCTATTTTGAAACTTAATATGGACAGGTATGTGAGTGTATTTTACATTATTTAACATAGAGCGTACTGTTGTGTTTCCATCTGAAAGAGCCGTTTTATAGGGATCTTCCGTTAACTCACAGATTTGCTTTACATTCATTTCTTTTTCTGCTGTGTGGAATTGGTGTCATGTTGTGTAGCTCAACACTGACCCTACCGTTGTTGTCAAGGAGGCTGGTTTCCAGATGTGAGGTAGCAGGTAGGCTGCACATTTGAATATGTAGGACTAATATATATATATTGTTAGGCAAAATAGCTGGGATGGTAATTTTCAGGTTAAGCTGAAACTGTAGGAGCTGGTGTGTGGCCCTGGGTGGAAAAAGTGCGTACTGTAACAAGGCATCCAGTTAGGGAGACCAGCATGGCTGGCTTAAATTTGAGATACTCTGTGAGGCTTCCATGATCTGAAGATTGTGGAAGTGGGAAATGAAGCTGCTTGAGTTCTTAGTCACGATGGTGCTTACGCTGTGGTCAAAAGGCAGTTTTAAATGAGAGGGAACTTCTTTTTGTACCGGTCAACTAGGAGCACTGCATGCCAGGGTCACCTCAGGAATGTCCTTCCTCCTTGCTCACCCATCTTTTCAGCTAGTGGTGTCTCCTGGGATTTCAGGCAGATATAAAATACATCTCCTGCTCTCTAGCTCGAGCTAGGAGCTTGCACCTGCCCCCAGCTAAAGAAAGGATGGCAAAAAAAGGAGTGAAACTGGAGTCTGCCTTCAGTGCAGCAGATGCTTGCTGGAGAGTGTGTCTTTCTACCTACCTGTTTAATGAACTTCCCCTATTTTATTTTGATATCTGATACTTACTGCATCTGTTTGAGGGCATGATTGTTTTCCTTTTTGCCATCCCTTCCTCCTGTCAGTTCCTACTCTGACTGTTCTGGTGTCTGTTTTGAACATGACCGAATGAGACTGACATTAATTAGCTGTTTACATTTACCAGGCATGATATAAAGCTTTTGCTGCTAAAGTCAAATTGTGCAAACAGCATTTGGTGTTGTGCTGCCTCATGCTAGCTCTGATGGGCCCTGTCTGTATCTGAGCAGGGGGTTTTGAAGGCTTTTATGATTGGAAAGGCAGCCTTATTTGCTGTGTCCATCCACTGGCTTAGTATGGATTGCAATAAAATCATAGGTCTAGTAGAGTGTGGTCTCCTCATTCTACCTTAATCCTTACGAGTTTTTAAATATGAAAGCAACCATTTAAATGCAGCTATTGTATCGTTTGCGGTTTGAGGAAATGCCTAGCTACTTTGGAAATGAATACACAATTGTAGAATGCAGTGAATGAAATAGCTTTTTTTTTTTTTTTTTTTTTTTTTTTTGCCGTGCTCTAGTTTTGCATGCTTGCTACCAGGGTTGTTCTTGTCTTGTAACTGGAAACTGCAGGGTAGTTTTGAGAAAGATTTGTTCATATGATCGTCAGAAGATTCACTGGCTATCTATTGTCAAAATATTTCTGTTCTTTAGAACCTTTTGAATTTGAAGATACCTGTTGGTTTAAATTTGCTTTATTGTACCAAACAAGGAATAATAGAGTATTTCAAGCCATGCTATGTAAGATCATTCTGTACTCCTTTGAAACGTGCATCTTCGGATGTCATCACTTGGAAGGTTTTAATACTGGTTTCTGGTTTCGAGAGGTGATGGGTTGGGAGACACTGGGAATTGATACAATGGAAAAAAAAGAAGTCCACTAATCTTTAATGCATTTGCTGTTATTTAGCATATGTTTAGATTGAGATCTGATGTAAACAGGTGATTCCTGAAGCATTTTGACTGAGCTGTGTAAATTCTACCTTTCTTTGCTGCTTGGGCATACGCTGTCTTTTCTGGAGGGAGTTCTGTGCATCTGGGTTTTTTCCTAATGATTCAGGAAAGTTCTATTATTTTGAGGGTAAGCCTGCAGGAGCAACAGATCTGTAATTCAGACAGGATCTTTCACAGAGGAAATGTATTTTGGAACAACCAGTAATGTAATTTGTTGGTTGCACTGCTTTCCCATATGGGGAGCCTATTAGCTTCTGAGTCCTTCTTGAGTGTAATTGGATTTCAAAGAATGTCTCATAACTCATCAGGCCTGCTAAGAACTTCAAAATTATCTTCTGGTTAGTGAATACATTTTTAG